GATTAGATAAACTCGAACCCGATTCCTCGCGGTTACGCATCTGCGGCGCTTTATTGCACTAGACCACTGCACTGCCACCCCTATAGTATTGAATGTTGATGACTACAAATAAATTTTTCTGGAAACAAGTAATATCTATCTGTTAGAAATAATGCAATCAAAATCTGTTTAAAAATGTCCTATATAAAAAATCAAAGTGTCCTAATTAACCGGTGCTATATATTCAAGAGCCACTGCAATTGTCTTTTAAACTTTTAAATCATAAGATGCATATACATATTTTGAATATATAGGTATTAATAAATATATATTCAAAATATGTAGGGAGAGTCCGGGAGAGTTGAACCACGTTTTACTTGAAGGTCCATAAAATTTAGTGTAATTGATGTATAGATTTTTTATTCATGTCAAAGTAAAGCCTTATTATATGGCTACAATTTGTGGAATTTGTAATTTTAATAAGTTTATAAATGTAAGTGTTATATTAATTTAAAAAGAAAACGAGATTTGGTTCATCTCTCCCCAAGAAAGAGGAGACATGATCCATATAGATAGATTTGACCATATAGGTAGATTTGACCATATCCTATAAACTTATGGAAAAAATAATGAAAACATATTTAGACTACAGTTTATATTAAGAATTTACAAATTTAGACATTAAAATCACATCTCTAATGTTTTAATGAGCACGTTAAAACACGTTTGTCTCACTCACAGTCGAAACGCACTACCGAGCGTCATGTTGTCATGTGACATAATAGCGACCGATGATCCGTATGTCGCAACTTAACAATTGCGCGCTTGGCTCGAAATCTGAACAAGATATTTGAAATAGTTCAACTGTCCTGTATGGTCAAATCTCCCGGACTCCCCCTATATGCATCTTATGATTAGAACGTATTAGATTAACGCTATGTCCAATTCTTTTTGCTCGTCAAAATTTTTTGGCGTCCTTTATTTCAGACATTTAAATCTAGTAACTCTAGATTTACCTGGCCTTCGTAGTTACCTGCGTGTATCTTAAATAACTTGGCGTTAAGAGTGTTGAATTAGAAATGTGCCTATAATAAGATTGAAGGCCGAAAATACAATGCGTAAAAGTCTATGTTTCGTTGTCTGCCATCAGCCTAACAGATTATGCCGCACGTGCGTCATTTCGCGCGTAGATTATTTTAGAATCATTCTAGGATATTTGACTTTCACATCTTAATATTATTGACCTTATTGCATATTCAATTGTGATCGCGATCTGACCTATACTGTGACTAAATATAGATCTAGTCATCAACCGTTTACGAAAGAGATATAAGAATTAAACGTCGTATTTGATGTCGTACAAAGCACGTATTGTAGAACTTTTCAGAATAGATTCTGATCAAAATTATTTAGTTATTTCCTAAATTTGTATCCAACTGAATTTTTAAACTCTCTGGATGTGCCTGGCTTACCACCGCACAATTTACAACTAAAGGTTGGCTCGGTAGTCATCATGCTTCGAAATCTAAACCAACCAAAACTATGCAATGGAACGCGTTTGGTGATAAGAAAACTGATGATCAATGTGATTTACGCGACGATACTTAAAGGAAAATTCAAAGATGAGGAAGTTCCCATTCCGAGGATTCCGATGATCCTAACCGATATGCCCTTTGAGTTTAAACGAATTCAATTTCCGATTCGTCTTGCATTCACCATGACGATTAACAAATCACAAGGCCAATCCTTAAGTGTTTGTGGTTTAAATTTAGAAAATGCATGTTTTTCTCATGGTCAATTGTACGTGGCATGTACGTGTCGGCAAACCGTCCGCTTTATTTGTTCTTGCGCCTGATAACAAAACGAAAAATGTCGTATATCACAAGGTGCTTCACTGAAGAGAATCAACCCAAGTGTAACCCATGCAGCAAAATACATAGCTTCATCAAAGCAAATTTTATATATATTATCCTAATGAACTATTGAACTTAATAAATTTTTTGTATTTATTTTATTACGTTAATTAAAATCATAAATTAAGTTTAGCTAAAAGGTATCACTACATTCATTGACTGTTAGGTGGTACGAAGTTCGCCGGGGCAGCTAGTATATATATACATGTATGTATGTATGTATGTAATTAATTGTAAATACGATATCACTTATTATTAGACCGTTCGAGTAGGTTTACCGGTTTTACCATCCATCGTTGGACGACTAAATGGATAGCCCTATCTGTTTTGTGTCACGTCATTTTTCTACGACTGGTTTGAAGATGTAGTATTAAAAAGAATTATAAAAGAAAGAAAAAGGGAATTTTCAACGGCGATGCAGATCATAAAAATTGTTTGGTGCCCAACTTATTTAGAGTATAACTCTGGTTGGCAAAATGTTAACTTTAAGAATCACGTTGAATCCCAACAAATTTTTTGACTCGTGTCCTTAAATCATATTTATAGAATATAAAATGCTAACACGTTTTTTAAGTACACAACAATAAATTTAAATAAATTTTAGTTTAAATAAATATGTTTGCAAGATTATCTCTCAAAACATATTGTGCGTTGCGAACATCAGAATCGATACTCAAACTAGTAAAGATACATGCCTGGAAAATAGAAAGCTTTTTCAATCTATATACCTGAGATACTCTTTTTCGCGATATAAATTTCTCCCTTATAAATGCTAGAATTGCGCAATTATTCTATGTGTTAATAAGCACATTTCACTGTCTATTGGACCATCAATCCATTATCTCTTTTATGAATTTTGTTCAACAAATCAAGCAATCTCTTTTTTCGTCTTAATATAATGTTTTATATAATGGTAAACAGTAATTATAATCATATTTCATTCATAATAAATCAGTCACGATTTACGCGTATAACGCACTTCGGACCTGCACGTGAACTTTTATAAGAATATCATGTGCTGCTCGTCGGTTTTGTTGATTTGCCATGCAAGCAGTGTGACGGTGTCATCAACATCGCTGGCAATCTCTTTCTCTTCAAGCATTGTCAATAATATTTAACTCCCACGCATGATGCGTCTCTCAGTTCTTTTGTCGACGTCGATCGTTGTCCACTTACCGACGGTAAAGCCTGCCAACGACGAAGTCTCTACTGAAAAGACTAACACTTGCAACGAGAGATTCGCGTCTTCTATTTTCCACATTTGTCATCTCGGCGAGAGAAATAATCCACCGCCGCGGCGCCGCGGCGCCGGTCTCCACAACGAAATCAGTCGCAAGAGCTTACGAAGAGGTAAATCGATCTAATTCTTTATTCACGATTAGCATCTCAACCCTAGCTGCCAGTTTTCGTCTTTCTCCCCATTGTGACTTTGTCAGCAATTGCAATTGCGTCTTTGTTTTTGACAAATTACTAAAGCACAAACATATTTAATTGACTATTAACATTTAATTAAAGAGTTTCATTGCTCTGAGTTATTCGAGATATTGAAGAATATTCACGATATTAATTCATTATTCATTGAAATTGGAGTAAATACCTTTTAATATTTGCCCTCCGTAATAGAACAAGTATGAATAAAAATCATTCATGCTCCATGCTTGTTTTGAATTTCTATAAATTTTGTTTTTGTTACTTAAAAATATTTATTATCCTAACAAAAAGTATTTACAAAATAAAAAAAATACCCCAAGTACATAACAAATCAGAGTATATAAATTTTGGAAAAGTAGATGTTATAAAAATTAACTTTGTTTAAAAACAGATATGAGATCGATGCAATTAACCAAACACAACCAAGCTGATAGCATTCTAAACATTTATAGAAAGGGTCAAGGGCCCATGTTCTCAACTCTCTTTTATTGATAAAAGATAAAAGAAAGTGTTGAGAATATGAGCCAATGTATTATTTATTACTTAAAACGCAGCTCTAACGTAAGACTGCGTAAATCACTGTATTTTCATTGCGCGTAGAGTATTATAATACTCATTAAAGATACTTATATTCGCGTAGGTATATACATATATACTCTATCGTAGGGGGAATACGCGGCTCGCGACGTCCAAGTTTGACTCGCAGAACAAATGAAAAATAAACTAAATTATAAAGCGCTGAATTGTTTTTTACCTTTATCAGTAATGCGATATTGCAATCGGGGTCCCGAGGTCTCGACCACGTCCACAATTGCTCGTCAACTGCTCTTGTTGCGAAGTTAACAGAGACTGCATTTCGGTACTTACTGCAGTTAGCAACTGTCAGTACTGAATGTTTATAGTAAGTATACGTGACGTAAAATATAGAAAAATATAGATTTTTCAGTACTGACAGTGAATATCGAAATGCAGCCAGAATCTCGATCTCATTGATTTATTAATAAAAAACATATTATAAAAACAAGAAAGTAAAAAAAGCAAAAAATAAAAAGATTTGTCTTGCTTCACCTCTACGTGGTGATCCCTAGGTAACGCTATAAGAAGGCAAAAATATAAATATATTTAATATAAAATATAAAAAATATAATATATTCTAAATTTTTAGCTGCTGCGGTCCGCGGTATAACTTCAAATTTCACATTTATTCTGTCAAAAAATTTAGTTGCGTTTCTCTGCTCTATCGCCTTACTACATTCCCACAGTAAGAGAAGAAAAATGTATACGCGAGATGTAACACAGCAAACATTGAAAAAAGTAGGAAACGCAGCGTGAGCTTTGCAAAGCATAAAACTAAATAAAAATGCAAAATTTCGAAAATAAACGGTCGCAGACCCTCCTCTCTCTCTCTCTCTCTCTCTCTCTCTTTCTCTCTCTCTCTCTCTCTCACTCAAAAATATCAATAAAAAAAACTTCTTTCGTTCAAAATTGCCATTTGTTCATTAAAAATTATTCGCTGCAAAACGAGCCTTCCCTAAACATGCATTTTCACAAATTTCCCTGCAATTTGGACAATTTTAAGTTTTACATATTCAGTAGGCCCAAAAATATAAAGCTAGATCAATTTCATACGTTTTCTTTACAGGCAAATTTTGGCCCTATTTCAGCATCGTTCTTTAATCTTCAGTCGTCTGATTTAAAGAGAGAAGATGATAGCCTGCTGTTTGTTGGTATAGCGTAAAACCGATTTTTTGGATTCAGTCCAGCAATCCGAAAACAAAGATGGCACCAAATATTTCAAGCACGATGTCCAAAAATTTCGAGAAAGATTTCCAGAAAAAGGAATCTTCAGCTACTATGAAGATAAATACAGACAATAAAAATGGCACATGGAATGGAACTAAAATTTATACAAAGACGAAAGGCTGGTTCAAAACGGATCTGAAGTGGTTTAATATCATATCTATTAGTCTTTTTCATTTATACTTTGTCTATGCCTGTTTTACATTTAAATTTCTCGAAAATCTGAAGACGACCGCTTGGAGTGAGTATCCGTTAAACATTTTTTTGTTAATTTGATTCTTTTTAATACTCTGATGAAAAAACATATAACAAAATATAACATAAAAGTAAATTATAATTATATTTTCGAAAGACTCTCGTTTTACAGTCGACAGAATCCATGGCATTGACAACAAAATATTATGAAAGATTAATTGTACAATCGATAATTGGTGCTACTTGTACAATCGCGAAATATACGTTAATTATTTTTATGCGTTTTCACATAAGCATGACAAATGTTATTAAAGTGTGCTAATTTTTCTTTATTTTAAGTATATATTATGAATATAATGGGAGGATTAGGCGTCACTGCTGGTGCTCATCGATTATGGACCCACCGATCTTACAAGGCAAAGTGGCCGCTTAAAATTATACTTGTCATTTGCTACACTTCAGCCGGCATGGTAATCGAACGTTTATAATTGCCATTTCGCGTGTTGTAAGATGGAAGAATTTTTCTTTACAATTATCTTTTTTTTCTCAGAACAACCTTTATGAGTGGGTGCGAGATCATCGGGTGCATCACAAATATACGGATACGGACGCAGATCCGCACAATAGTAAACGAGGATTCTTTTTCTCTCACGTAGGCTGGTTGATGATGAAGAAACATCCGGAGGTGATCCAAAGGGGTCTTGAGATGGATATGAACGATATATTGGCCGATCCTATCGCCGCATTTGGTTACAAGTATAAATCTGCGCAGAGAATGAATAATTATTTACGCAAGATGCTTTCATATTAAAAAAAGAACCAAAGAAAACAAGAGGAAATTTATTCGCACTTATTTGATTTATCTTGAAAACGTGTATTTATTATTCCAATATCTTTCTGTTGCACTATTTTAGAAAACCTTTTTTTTTTATACGTACCTAGACAACACAATGTCAGAAATCGGGACACATAACGTCATATCATACGATGTCATTAGGACATCATGATGACGTCATGTGTTCCGATTTCCTGACATTGTGTTATTTGTCGCAAGATTTTCTCGCAAGATATACGATATAATGTGTAGTTATGTAATATAAAAAAAACTGTATATCGTAATTAATTTATGATATTTCGCAGATATCACTCGATACTCAAATTTATCTTCGCCTTCCTGCTTCCGGCAATGGTGCCTGTGTATGGATGGAATGAGACTTGGTATAGAGCCTTCGTGTCGCAGATTATTCTTCGTTATATATTTTTTTTAAATTGTGCGTGGACTGTTAACAGTGCGGCTCATATCTGGGGCTCAAAGCCATACGATGCGTAAGCAAATTAGTCATTATAAAATACAAATTATACACAGTTATTCGTATATAACAATATGATCGGAAGAAATCTCCGAGCTTTCGTTATTCTGTGTCACCCCAAATAACTTTATTTGTTTTAACGGCAGACACATGAATCCAACACAGAACCGATGGGTCAACATTATGACGGGCGGCGAAGGATGGCACAATTATCATCATGTCTTCCCGTGGGATTACAAGGCTTCCGAGTTTGGCAGCTATTTCAAATATAATATTACCACATTATTCATCGATTTATACGCGATGATCGGATGGGCGTACGATCTCAAACAACCATCGCAGGAGCTCGTGAAGACTATCGCAATGAAAAAGGGTGACGGGAGCTATCCCTTATGGAGTGCCGTGCCATATTCAGCCAGTAAAATTGAATAACAAAAATGATTTACAATTAGAGTTGTCTTATCCTCACGATAGAGAATTCCTTTAGCTCAATTAACGACAATGCGAACAATTATGATTTAGATAATTTATATGCGTTTATTAATATAACGTATACTATAATAAAGTAAACTTATATGTTTTTATTTTTTTTAAGAATGCAATATTTCTTTATTAACTATTTGATAATTGATAATTAAATAATAATAAAATATTGCCTTTTTCATCATTCCCTTGATTTCAGATGGTTTTGAAGAGAATTAATATGAATACATCATGTTACAATAGTATATTGCAACAGCATGTTTCGCCTATATCGTAATTATTAACTTATTTTTAATTAATTGAAATTAATATTAAAACTATCGGAGATTAATCTATATTTATTTCTACTGAATTCTTCTCAATTCTGAGAATTAGAAGAAAATTTGGCTATATATATTGGCGTTACAGCTGTTACTTCAGGACAGTCAAAACTTTATCTCCTTCCCCCTAGCAAAGTAAAATAGTATATTACACCAAGGGGAGAAAGCTGCGTTTATCAGACGGGCTCGGGCCGATGAAAACTCGGGCGGCAATCACACAAGTCTGAAAAAGCGTTCGACCCGTGGTGCAAACGATATTTTTCACAACACCTTTACGAAAATGTTCAACTTTCCGTGGAGGTGTTGTGAAAAAACCCACTATTTACCTAAATACCAACTGATGAAAATATTTGTTCGGGTCTTTCAGATTCAAGGGTAGTAACCTAGGGTTCAGACTTTACCAAAAGACGTCTTGAAAACGTCTTCAAGACTTTCTGAATAGACGTCTGAAAGTTGTTTTTTTTTGTAAGATTTTTTGAAACATGCAGATATTTACATTATCGACTGTGACATTATCAATTGAAATCAAGCTCAGACAGCACGCATGTCTATCTTATGTCCAAAATCGGGACAGTCTTAGGCCTTAAGCAGAATGGCTGTCTTGGCAGTGTTTTATGCCTTAAGTCATTGTCTTATGTAACGCACAATACTGTTATACTGTATTGTGCGTTACATAAGACAAAGACTTAAGGCATAAAACACTGCCAAGACAGCCATTCTGCTTAGGCCCTTAAAAACATCTTTAAGACGTCTTATAATATGCTATTTAAAATATGTCTTAATGTCTTTAAGACATTTTATGTCCTGATTTTGGACATAGTACTATCCGGAAAAGATACGGTAGTGTATTTTGCAAGTATAGGCGCAGCGAGCAGACATAGACCGTGTATCTATACGCGAGCTGACGAGCTCAGAAATCTTTAGATTATTGGATTTCAATAACGGCTAAACTATGATCAAGTTCTGAGTAAGCTCAATCGATAGTTTATTGGGTTCGAATTATATAATAAAAGTGTTTTTATTTTTCATCAATTATACGTGTCCTACGAGCGGAGATATTGCGATGCAAAGTCCGAAATGTAAATATTTTACACATTAAGATACGTTATCATTATCGCTCTCTCATAAAACGTTATTTACAATTTTTCGACACTATGCTAGCAAACAAGGTTTCTCGCTGGTGCTGCATCGAAAGAAATTGGGAATATTTTTAGCGTCTTTACCATATCTATAATATAATATGTGTGAAGCAATATTTCTGATAAACCATGCGCGCGTTATTATCGACCCAGCAAGTAAATCAGGCCGATAAGTCAGGTCAAGAGGAAAATTTTAGATAACTCACTATAGCTGCGTTCGGCGAAAAAAAAAAGATATTCGAGAAAATAGAGGATACAAGAAGAAATATGATAAATGTTTTTTAAAAAATTATACATTTTCAAACCTACCAAAATAATAGAAGATATTTAAATGTATGTAACTTTTAATTAAAATAAAAAATATTTAACGCAAAAAACTTGGCGCTGCTAGATTTTGAAATATAGCAAGACAATCAAGATAATGAAAACACATAATGTTTTTAATTTAGACCTAAACATAAAACACATCACGCACACACACACGTAGGTATCGTACATGCTTATCATATTTATTCGTTAATTTCGGCCGTATTTGGTCTACCAATGCCAAGTTTTTTATTAATATTTTTTTATTTCAATTAAATATTAAATATATTTAAATATCTTCTATTATATTGGT